GGCTAAAAGCCCTGGGAGGAAGAGACCCTTCTCAGCTCAAACGCATCCTAGGTTCCCCCACGGTCACTGGACTCCTTGAAGTAGTTACAATCTGCCAAGACTATAACCCTGCACACCAAGGACAGTGGTGGGCTTCGCTCTTCATCTCTCTGGGGTCCACTGAAGCTGAGTCCCAGGCACTGAACGGAAATGAGCTGGAGAGATGCTGTGGTGATTCCCAACAGGAGTTGGCCTCACATGCAGGAGGGAATGACCACCTGTCTCTTTGGCAGCTGTTATAACACAGTCCCTAAGGATTTTAGAACTCAAAAAAAAAGAAGAAGAAGAAGAGAAGGAACAGCAGGAGGATTAGGAGGAGGGGGTGGTGTAGGGAGTGAGAAGAGAATGAACAAGGCAGCAGTCATTCATTCCACTGAGCTCCCTGTCATTGCTGATGTTAGCTGTCACCAAAATGGCTCCTGTCTCATGGCAACCTCAGGTTACAGAGGAAAATGCTCCAGGGGGTTTCCTGGGTGTAGTCTTTATGTCCCCCAGAATATTCTTCCTCAATGGCACTGGGTGGGTTTGAACTATCAACCTTTAGGTTAATCATTGAGTGAAAACCACTTACACCCCAGGTCTCTTCTTGTGTAAATAAATACAACGAATGCTTTGTTAGAATGACCGGAAGTAGGGCTGAATTACAGGCTTCTGATGACTTTATCCTTTTATGACTGGATGACTCTATAAGTGAAAATGGCAAGACAGAATAATACTGTGTGTGATGAGAGAAGCTGACAGTGGGCCTCACACAGCTAGAGGCCATATCTCAATTGCCTACTGCCTTCTTGTCACTACCCAGGGGGTGGGTGGGGGTGGGTGGGGGTGCAGCTGTAGGAAACATTGGAACCTTTCTGTTTTGAAGATTTAAACAAACACACAAAAGGTAGGGGGCCAAACATTTTGCTCATGACATGCAGTTTTAGAGCAAAGGGCATGATGCCCTGACAAGAGTCGGGCTGCGTGGGTAGAGTGTGTGCGGTCATAAGCAAAGGAGACAAATGTGTAAACAGAAAACTCTGCACTGTGGGTGATTTTGGAAGAAACCCAACCTTTCCGGGACTCACTTTCTACATCAGAGAAAATTTAAGATCCCTCAAATATTAATGTCTTATTCTTCCAAATATGGCCACTTAATGCATGGTCTGATGCAGAAAGAAATCAAATGAGCATTTTCTCTCTGTTCCCGTTTCTAGGGATAAGTCTAAAGTAGACTAGAAAAACATTTCCCTTCAAGGCGGGGGAGGGAAATTGAACGCATTGCCCAGGTCCTTTGTAAATGCCCTTAATTTGAAATAAAAGGACAGATTATGTATTCAATCAAAGAGTACCTTCACAAGAGGGGTGTCAGAAGTCTTTCCCTCCCTTTCCCATGGGAGACAGTGAGTCCGCATAAAGGCTCACGCCCTGGTAGGACCCCCTACTCATGGTGCTTCTGCCCAAGGTACAAAAGGCCCAGGGGAATGAATCAGAGAGCACTGGAGACTGTGGAAGACGTGGGGACGTGCTGCTCAGAACTCACTGCCCACCAGAGGAGGGTGGCCAGTGGATAGCTTCCCCTGTCAACTTCATCAGACCTGCCTCAGCTGTTGAGGTAAACTCCCAGGGTCTTCTTAGGGAATCTTAGCCACCGAGGAGGCAAGGTGGGAGGACAGAACCCAGCCCGTCTCACCTACCCTGAGCCCTTCTGGGCAGCCAGGGAATCTCACTTGGCTGGTGATCACTCTCACCCTCACCCTCTGCACAATTCTACTTCCTCCTGTATTAGTGACATGACTTGCTTTTGCACTCCCAGCCTCTACTTCCCAGAGGACTCAGTAGATTTAGAGATGCATTGGGGCTATCTTTTATCCACCCCCAAAGGGACTTTAGAAAGCCTACCTTTGAATTACACCACCCTTACTTCTGTAGCATGCAGATCTGGCCATAGATTTCTTTCAATTCCCCTGAGTCACAGACACCCAGAGACTTAGCCAGTAGTTCTCAACCAAGGGCGCACCTAAGAATCATGCCAGAGACTTTGACAGCATACAAATGCCCAGGCTCCACCTGCAAAGGCAGACAAAGAAGTAGAGGATGGCTGCCTGGTGGAGAACCATTGGTTTCAGCAGAAAATTTCCCCTTGTTGAGCCTCTTTTGGAGGAATATTCCAGAAGCTGGGAAGTGTACTGTGTTAAATGATCCAGAAACAATGGCTTTTTTCATCTCCAGATACTCTCCAAAGTTCGGTTAGTCATGACGAAAACACATTTGAGAACACGGTACACTTTCTTGGAAGACATTATGCAAAGGCATTTAGCATTCACCTCTCAAGCTGTCAAAAAGCTTGCGATCACCTGTCTCTTCAAGATCCAGGTGTAATTGTACCGAAGGGGCAGTGGTAATGATCCTGTTTCATAAGCTGTGGTCTGCACTTCTCCTCTGAGTTGGAAGAACTCATTTGCAGTAATGTCAAGGAAGACGTGTGCGTCCTGGGTGACAGAGAGATTCTCTGTGCTAATCTGTAGGGATCCTGGGCAGGGCTGTGGGTCTGGCTGCTAACCTGAAGGTCAGCAGTTCCAGCCAGTAAGGGGATCCAAATAACCTAACAACCAGTTCCCTGCTCTATTGACCATTTTGAGTATAAAAAAAGATATACTGAAAGGTCATTTATTATTTCAACATGATATCAGAACATCGCAGATGAACATTTAAAAAGATCAAGGTGTGTAGATTTGTGATTTCCACATGGGGCGGCTGCCCAACCACCCAGTTTAGAGAACCCTGATTAGAAGTGGTTCACTGAACTCCACAAAATGGTAGATATTGGCTCTGCCAAACCCGTGTGAACCGGTTAAATCCCACCACTGGTTCAAATCCACCAGCCCCTCCTCTGGTGAAAGACGAAGCTGTATACTGCCATAAATACTTACTGTCTCAGAAACCCTATGGAGGATCCTGATGAGTCAGAATCGACTCAGCGACAGTGAGTGTGGGGACTTGTGTGCGCATTTAGCTTTGCTTTTAGGTACAAGGAGACTTATTTTCAAGGCACAGTTAATTTCTGAAGATGGTATGAGCTGAGATTCTCCAGAGCAGGGGAGCCCTATCTTCCCAAGGGCACTAGTCCTGGGGGGGAAAGCACCCAAAGAGAACTACTTGATAATTTGAAAAGACTTCCCACTCAGTCTCCACAGAAGAAGAAGGAAACAAAACAATTCCAAGGGAAATGGAAACAAGCCAGAGGGTGGGGTTTGGAAAAGGCAACTTTGTCCGAGTGAAAGGAAAACCAGTTTTCTCAGATTCGAACTCATGGCAAGCCCGTTCGAGTCAAAGTAGAACTGTGCTTCATGGGATGTCTCCTGACTGACATTTCAGAAGGAGTTATTCAGGCTTATTTTTCTGAGGCCCTTGGCCTTCAACGATCACCCTTTTAGTTACGAGCCAAGCTTGTTGACTCTCTGCCCCACCCAAGGATTCCTCCTTTCCCAAATGAGGAGGACTAGAGAGTGGAGTGAGTGAACTTGGGGAACAAAAGTACCTGCTAGGGACTGAGGATGAACAAGTATTACAGGGGGTGGGAGAAGGCATGGGAAACCAGAGATCTTCCTGACGGAGGGGAGCTCTAACATTACTGTACAATAACTACCCTGGACATGTGGTAGCACGTGATGAAGGGCTAGTTTAACAGCTTTCCGAATACAACACCTATTGCCTCGTTCCCTAAGAGCCTTGTTCTGAACGTGCTAATGAAGCCATACACCCTCTGCGTGAGTGGGAAGAGATGCCTCCTGGAAGAGACCCGAGTTGGGAGTGTTGGAGCGCTGCCTCTCTCCCCGACCAGCTGGTGGAACACCAGGATACTCACTCAACCTCTCTGGCCTGCCATCTTCTTATTGCAGGGCTCTTCCAATCATTTGCTGAGTGGGCATGTGGACAGGTTTCATAAACATGCACAGCGCTATTCAAGTGTGAGCTTTCATTAATGAAAAGAAAAAGCGAGATGGCCAAGTGAGTATTACCAGGCAGTTCTACAGCCCAGAGCATCAGGACTCTAACTCCATGTTATTCAAAGCCCTGTTCCTCATTATCCAAGAAGCCCTGGTGGGGCTGTGGGGTAGGTCCTGGACTGCTAACTGAAAGGTCAGCTGTTCCCACATAGACTACAATTTGCAAAACCTAACTGAGGATTGCATGAGTCGGAGTTCACGTGAAGGCAGGGGGTTTGGCTTGGTCTGGTTCTCACTTATGGAGCAGTCCTTTGGCCTCCCTTTTCTGGTAAGTAAAAGGAAAACCATGATTGCACCTACCTCCTAGATGGCTACAGTCAGGAGAGAGAAACTCACACACGAATAAGATTCAGCTCCACTCATGATACGTAGCCAGTGTCAGTAAACGTTGGCGGCAATTGTTATGAACAAGCTTGCCAGCAAATATGGTAAAACTGAAATATTAGAAAGAGGGACTCTAGAAGAAGTCTGAGAGTGGGCCACACCCCAGGGAAAGCCAGCGCCACTGCAGAGACCAGTTGTCATTCACTGACAAACCCTCCAAGTGCCAAGGCTGAGCGCAATCAGGGGAAGTCAGGGGGAGAGGTGTCACTTTGGTCTTGTGTGTCCATGTTATCTGTAGTAGAAGTACCCACAGCCCAGTGGAGCCCTGGGCCGTAGTTTTAGAAAAACCACCAGCGTGCTGTTTCCAGGTATAAATTCACTTGTGACAACTGTACATTCATATCACACAAGAGAGACGTGACATGCAAAGAACATCATCTCACAATGGAGCGCAGTCTGATTCCCGGGAGGATGCAGGCGGTGGGGGAGGGGCGTGGATGGATCTGGGATGTCAGGGCTGCCCTTGAGGTTATTGCCAGGTTGGGGCAACTGTGGTGGGCTCTGGAAGGAGGCACATTCCATTATGAGTGGAGTGGTTTATAATGGAATGACATGGATGGTGTCTTAGAATCAGAAAAACACACTGACCTTCACACTACACAGGTGCAGCAGCATAATGACCCACCGCGTGTACACGCATCAATTCCTGGGGAAAGTCCAACGAGGTTAACTCAGCGTGCATCCCAAGCAAGAAAAATCAGTGACATTCCCCACACAAGAATCATTGCTCCCCCAACCCACCCCCACTGAGTTAACTTGTAAACAGAAAGAAAGGAGAGACAAAAATCATATTTATTTCGGTAAATGGATAAAATCTAGCACACAGCATTCTTCTATACCACAGCAAATTTGATTTGCATAGTAAAACATAGACTTTAGAGAGTTTGGACCGTGGGTCTAAAGAATGATTATTTTGCTTCTTCTTCCGGAAGCTGGCGTGTGGAGAACAGGAAGGAAGTTCCGTTTCCTGGGTGTGCTGAGAAACCCTACCTAAAAGCATCCTCAGATATGCTCCTTTCATAAGACCTCCCCTCAACCAAAAGGGAATCGAAGCAGCAACTCAACTGCTGAACGTACCACCACCGCTGTGCCAGATATTCCAGGGGCCCAGGCAATTCTGTCCAGTGTGGCGTCTATCGCTCTGTGTAGCAATCCATTTGGCATCCTTGCCCCCGTGCCTCCCCTTCCCACCAGCCCGTTTAGAGAACCTCATCGAAGATCAGGACCAAAGAAGTTGAACCAACAGAGGCTGCACCATGAAAGATGCTGGTAATCATACGACCATGAACTTCTTGAGCCCTGGGCCATTATTCCGATCTTATAAACTCTGGAGGTAAAGGCCCCATGAATGTGATCAATATGGTCTTGTTCCAGAAGAGAGCAATAGATGATGTCAGCACTCCCAAGCCCCAGGGAAACGCAAAGCTCTGCTGACAAATTAGTTTGTATAAGAAACAAGTAGCAAGCTTGCACTCTGAGTGTATAGCTTGTGTTCTTATCACTGGTTCAAGCAGATTTGCATAGGAGAGAGAGAGAGAGAGAATTTCGTGCCCACCAAGATCCTGCTCTGTGTGGAATACCTCACTGAGAGCTGTGGGACTCCTCACAGCGGATGCTAGGCAGTGCTCCCTTATCAAAGCTTCTTTCACCTCCTTTTCACCCTGCCCCCATGGTGACAGGCTTCTCAACTGTGCTTAGAGATCCCTCTTTTTCTACATTTTCAGGTTCTTCCCCACCCAACATTCTCCTGTTGGAGTAGGTTGTCCTTCCAAATCAAAACCAAACTCTGCCACGTAGTCCATGCTGACTCATAGCGACCCCTTGTGGGTATCCAACACTGTAACTGTTTACAGGAGTAGAAAGCCCAGGCTTTCTCCCTTGGAGTTGCTGGTGGTTTCGACCTGCTATGTGGATCACAGCCCCATGTGTAACCACTACACCACCAAGCTGTCCTTAGCTCCTCGTATCTTGGCACTAAGGACCCACGTCCTCCATTACTATCTGAGCACTGGCAATGCCCAGCCAATGTTCGATTCGGATCTTTAGTCTGAATTCCAAATCTGTCACTGCCACCTCAAGCAGCATCCCCACGGAACTCAGGATCTTAATTCTGATACCCGATGTCCTTCCCAAAGCCCACCTTAACTCTACCCATGAAGGCCACTGTGTCAGGAACTGGGGGACCCAGCGCATCATCTCTTCCTCATTGACCTCCTCCGCTTCATCTTCATCCTCAAGCACAACGTTTTTATAATCCTACCTCCAAGTCGTGCTGGAATCCACCTGTCCTCAGCATTTCAACTACTTCCCTTGGGTCCAAGCCACCATCTTCTCCCTTCCACCCAACTTCCACCTCACTCAATCAGCCCTAATTGCTCCCTCATAGCCACCTCTGCCCCATCGAATACCTTCTCTACAATAGGTAGAATACCTTTTGAAAAAGAAAAATACGATCAGGTGACTTCCTTGTTTTAGTGGCCTCGTATTTCCTTTTGGCTAAAATCTCCCTGCATTTAAAAAATCTGACTTGAGACTTAATTCATCAAACATGCACACATAGGTGCATAATCTGAAATAATCTAGTCTTACCTGCTCCTATGGAGTCCTGGGGACCTTGTAGGAGATGCATTGAGTTGCTAACCACAGGTTCGAACCCACCAGTCCCTCTGCAGGAGAAAGACAGGCTGTCTGATTTGGTGAAGATTGACATCCTTGGAAATGAGACAGAGCAATTTTACTCTGCTCAGAAGATCCCTCACTCTAAATCCAAATCAGCTCTATGGCAGTGGGGCTTTTTTGGGAGGATTTTGCCTCCTCCCTTGCCTCGTTCCCCAAGGCCATCATTATACTCCCTTCTCCTCATCATTATCCTCCCCCACAGGAGGGATTCGCCGCTCTCTGGACACACTCACTTCTCCATTCCATGGAGAGCATTTCCCTGTTCCTCAAGCATGCCTCCGTGAGCCTGGGCTCTGGCTTCCTTCCTCCTTCAGCCTTCCCTGTGTATTCCCGCCCCTCCAGGCCAGGACAGAGGTCCCTGGACCATTGTACGTTTGCAGCTTTTAAAATCAATCAAATGAATTCTTATTAAATGATGTGCTTAATTTCTGTCTTTCAAAGTGAGCTCAGAAAACAGGTGGGGCCTATTTGCTTCAACATAGTATCTCAGAGCTTAGCATGGCGAGTGGTACAAGAGGTGTGTCTAACAAGAATTGGTTCCATCTTGCAGCTCGTCTAGTTTGAAAGTTTCTTAAAAGTGAAAATGGAAAGACTTTGGATCTCTTAGTTTAGATACCCCCCGTTTGGTAAAGTAGAGGATCATCAGGGGGACTTGTGGCGGGGGGGCAAACCCTTAATAAAATGAATGAACACAATCGCTGCCTCAATGGACTCGGACATACCAAGGACTGTGAGACTGGAACAGGACCAAGCAAGGTTTTGTTCTATTATATATATATAAATCACCATGGAGTCTGAATGGCCTTGAGGCAACTAATTGCAACACACAGAAATCTGATGAATGGATAAATAAATCATCAAGGATTAGACAGTCCTTGAAGAGCTCCCAGTGTGGACATTAGAATATATAAAAGGAGCCCTTTGTTGAACCAATTCTAAACCAAATGTTGATCCAAGTAAACATGTGCACACACACATGCACACACTCATACAAGCAAGTAGAGTAAATAGAAGAGGGGAAGAAAAGACTATTCAAATTAGAAATTATTTCTGCAGCACTTAATATGTGGATGCTGGATTTTTTTTTCCATTTTGACAAAATGGTAGGGTTTATCTTTTTCATTTTTACAGTTACCAATTGCTTAACTGTAAAATATGATACTGGGAAGAAGAGGTGCCTTCAGAAAGAAGAGTCAGAACAGAAGTGGAGATTTTATGAAGCAATTTAGCCAAGGTCCCAAATAATCCAAGTCCTGGAATCTTTGCCACCTGACCATGGAAGGTGTGGGAGAAACTCTTTCCCATCAGGAGTGAACAGGAGCCCAAGGACATAAGGAGTGAAGTGGGGGACCCAGTGAATTGTCTTCACTCAAGTAATCACACCTATACTTCTACCCTCTGCTTTCAGCCTTATTTCAGCTTTACCTCCCTACAATTACCCTACATCTCCAGCATGTGCAATATGCCCCCTAACGATGAGTGAGTGCAAAGAAACAAAGGAGGGGAAAATCCAACAAGAAATGACTGATGAGGGATTAGCTAAGTTTTGCTTTGCACATCATTTGGGGTTAGACTGTTCTTTCTTTAAAGGCACAAGTAGTTTATATGCAACTACTTCTATTTGGCTCAAGTTGATATAACTTTGGGGGAAACACAGTTGGAGCCCACCAGCCAGCAAGGAAGTCAAGTGAGAGAGGAAGACCCTGAAGCCTCATCCGCCAGGGCCTGCCTAACACACAGAGCCCAGAGGGCGCATCACAAGGCATGGCCCTGAGCTAGCCGGCTTCTTGGTGGCTCCTGGCTGTGTGCTTCTGGCTTTCTGGCTTTTCCTGTGGCTTTGATTTTCTCCTTTTCCATGTGGTTTGCTGTCTGACAAGCTGACAATATATAAGGAAGAGACTGAGATCATTCATGGGATGAATGGATAAAAGCGAGTGGTGTAAAAGATGACAGGTTGGGTGTTTTTTTTGAAAGCGCGCTTTCTAATTATAGAAACAAGGTACATTTGCTGATTTTAAAAAGTCAAACCATATAAACAATTTAAAAAATATCCCTCATAGTTCCAGCTCCCCAAGGAGAGGCGGAGATCATGATGTCAAAGGAGTTTCTTGTTTCTAAGGCCCTTGAGCGGTTCAAATGGTACAGACAATAAAAATCCTGGCTTCAGCTTTGTGATCCTGAATCCATGAACATACTTGGGGTCTGACCAGTTTTGTATTTCCCCAAGGTATTTTTTTTTCTGTTCTTTGTGTTGGTCTCATTTAAACCTTCCGAATAGATAAAAGTACTATCATATAACTTTAGGTTATTATCATTGGACTAGTTTTCCGGGGGAGAGATCACTGCATGCTGCAATATGCAGTAATTTCATTTCACTGAGGGACTTACAAATGCCTTTGAAATTCTCAGGCTCCTCCATCCTCTCCTATGTTATCTCTTTTAAGTTAAAAGTAGTCTTTGACATGGAAGTCAAGCTTCCTTTGGAGTGAGTAGCAGAGCCAGTGGGCTATCAAAGTTCTCCATGTCTCCACCATGTCCATGGTTAAAGCTCTATGGCCATGACACCAAACACAAAACCATATTAACCACCACCGAGTCAATGTCGACTCATAGCAACCCTATAGGACAGGGTAAAACTGCCCCTGTGGATTTCCAAGGCAGTCTTTACAGGACTAGAAAGCCCTTTCTCCCACAGAGCAACTGGTGGTTTCAAACTGCCAGCCCTGTGGATCACAGCCCAATGTGTAACTACGATGCCACCAGGGCTCTTCTGATAGTGATATGGGAAGGGAAAGTGGAAATAGGATGCCTTGTCTTTAACTTCTAAGTCCCCAACATTCCCTTCAACTCTTCCTGTCCAACCTGATCTCCCATTAACCTCTTGGTTCTAGGAAAGACTGGTCCCTAAAATGAGTAGTTTGTCCCCTAAGCAGTTCCAGCTCCAAGGTCTCCCATGAGTTTTTGTTG